AGCCATCCCACCATGTCTCCGTGATGCCAATAAGGTTGTAGCCCTGCAGGCATGCTCACGTCTCTAACTCCTCTTGTTTATTCCCCATGCTACGTGTGTTTGCATAGAGGCATTTAAGTTGGGCCCCCGATGAAGCTGTCTTACTGGCTGGAGTTCCTTTGTGCTATGAAGGATTCACCCTGTAGAATTTTTTCTCATCTTAAAGTCAGGGGTTTTGTCTATGCTACTTTTCCTTAACAACCAGAGAAAGGGGAGCCCCCACTGAGTGTTTCAACCCAGTCATTACCTAGGAGCTGAGGTAGGTTTCATATAGTCCTGTGACAGTTCCTACTGCTTTTGAAAATGGAAAGAACCTGAATGTCTGGTTAAGAGCAGACACTTGCTATTGAGATGGCTAAAGAGAGGTAGTAAATTCTACCTGAAGTGTGCAAATTAATGGGTATGTATTATTAGCAAATTGTTTGTTACTTTTGTATTTCTCTTTCATCTGGACATAAGGCAGTTCTGGGTTTTTTTGTTTTGTTTTAATCGCTGTTGCTTTATGAAGTATCTGAAGACACATGCATTTTTATGAAAGTCTCTCTATTTTTGATATATGAAGCATTTGTAACATAGGCATGTGCTTCAGTTCTGTGACACAGAAGTTCTTCAGGTCTACTTGTCCTTTTGGACCATTCTTTACTGCAGACTGCACAAAATATCCCTAAAAATAAGTTAACCACTTAATTATGAATGTGTAGTAAGAAACAAAGAATGTCAATGAGAATTCCATTTTAAAGGTAACTGAGACAAGTTTTGCATATCAATTGACATGAAACATGCTATAACATACACGTTAAGAAACTGTTAATATTGAAATATAAGAGATGTTTCTTACCACTTTGAGATGAAGAGCAATTCTGATGAGGTAACAGCACAGGTGAGAATGGATCCTCCCAACTTTTTCTCACAGCTTAGCCCCACAGCTGTCACCTTTCAGGAAAAAATGGATTTTAGTTTACCCTACATTACGTCCAGGACACATTTAAAAATCAAATTGATTTTCAAAGATATTGCTGCTCTTTGCTGTGTCGTGTGCTGCTCTTTTTCTTTGACTTTCTCTGCAGTGAAGTCTCACTTCTGTATTTGCTGCACTTTATTACCACACTTCTTGTCTTTTCCTCCAGCCCACCTTTATGAGTCTTTGCCCCCACTAGCTGTTAGGTCTTTGTCTCTGTCCTTTACATCCAAAACGTTGTAAGCACCACTGACCGGCCACAAACAATTCATGATTCATAAACATGGTTCCTGGCCCAGGCTGAGTGGTGGAGGAATATTTTCTAACAGGGATGGTGTATCTAAGCTGCTTGCAGACACCTCATTTCTAGTGCACAGATCCAGTGTGAGCTTTTAATGGCATACTGCTGTGGCTGTATGTATGGAGAGTTTTGAATCAAAAATTTATGTCGAAGGGGTCTGCATGAAAAGTCTGTTCTGTGTATCAATTATAAAAGGGACAATGAAACAATCTAATGTGAATTAAAAGTAGTTAATGTATTAACTACTGTTAATAAAATGCAATGTATTTCTGTGGCAGTAGCACTGAGGGCATCTATCATGGGCTAAATCCTTCACTATACTAGAGATGGTCACTCTCTCAAATTGCAGACTAAGATAAAGGACAGCAGGTGGGTACGGTTAGGAGAAAACACAAAGAAAAGCAAGATGGTAGTGACAAGAGCAGGAGGCAGCAGTCCCTGCATATGCAGCCTGTTTGCAGGTTTCAGTGGTTGATGGAGCAGAGGTTTAAGGTTATATTGGAAGGGATGCTGGGAGATGCTGTAAGAGATAACAAATGGCAGTAGCTGCCCAGTATCAGGGCACGTGGAGGAAAGTACAAGGTCCATGTTTGCCGTAACAGTGTATGCACAAGTCCGTGACTGGCTGTGGTCCCGCCTGCTCCTGGACTTTTGCCTAGTTTGCAAAATTGGCATATGGGAACTATTTCAAATGCTGGGAGTTAGACACTTAGGACCAGATTTCTGAGAGCGCATTAAGTCCCCTTTGCAGTTCAGGATCATTAGCACGGCTTTCAAAAGCGACCGGAAAGTTTGGAGCTTCCTTTTTTTTCCTTTTTTACTGCCTGTCTCCTTATGCGCTCTTAGAATTGTGACTACTTTAGGTTGGTGTCACACAAGTCTTGTTACAAGTATAGGCAACTTAATAATTTGCCAGGAACATAAAAATGGTGCGTGAAACAGATCAAAATGCAGCTGTGTCCAATTTAATGCAGAA